CCTAACTCGTAATTGTGATCGACAATAAAAATAAATAAATTGCATGATCACAGAGGTTATTCTCAAAACAAAGTTCTTGCCCCTGAAGCTTAAATTTTGAAATGCATTAAACTACACATGATATTTAATGACTGATAAACCTTGGCCAACCTACGCTAACTAAAAGTTCATATATACAAAACTTTGAACCTGAATCCTGTACTGCACACACCCTGACCATGATGTAGTTTAAGAGAGTGGGCACCAAAGAAAAATGAAAATGTTAAGTGCCGCCAAAGCTATGTATTCAAGAACAAATGTCCAGCAAACATTCCACACGATACCAATTATAGCGGATCACATATTTCCACGATAATTTATTAAGGTTGCGTTGTGTTCGCTGGAATGATTTTAGGCAAGAATGGAATGGCTAGTCTCCTAAATTGGTGAATGGTGATTTCATTTCCCATGTAAATTCCTTTTTTTTTTACTTAACCAAACATGAGAACGGATATTCCGATGAAATGAACCAAACTAAACAGGTACACAAAAGACCATCCAAGACTTTCATGCCATGTGCCAATTGAACCGTTACATCAATTGAACCATATCCCTATTCAGGCCATAACCAAGAGTTGAATAGGTCAATAAAGTTCAAACCCATCCCCCATAACTCAAAAAATCACAAACTTTAATACACCAAAAAAATAAAATAAATAATAATAATAACTTGCATCCAACAAATAAGTACTGCATACAATTACATAAAATCATATTCATGCCCTTACCTTCTGTTTGAGTCTCAGATTTCTCTTTGCAAGAACTGAATGCTCCAAAACAACTCATCTCTTTCACTCACAAACACTTCTGATAGGGACTGAAAAAGCTTAGCTTGCAATCACATCTTCTCTTCAATCCAACACCTACCCAATTTTCCAACCACACAAACACTTACCTAATTAGTCACCAAAAGACACATCATTGACAATAACACCAAAACCCACATCGATCAAATCAAATCAAATCAAGACCAAACCTGTGTTTTTCGAAGCGATTTCAATCGAATCGCGTTACGCAAAAGAATTGGGAACAACCCATTGGGTGGCTCATCACCATCTTCTGAACATCCTCCCTCTTGATTGGGTTTCTAACCCACCTCTTGGGCTTGTGGCATGTATGATTTGGTTTAGTTTTTTCTACTGTGCTGTTTTTGTATTGACCTCTGTTAAAAAAAAATCCTTTCTCGCTCTCTCATTTTCTCAAATTTCAAATTTTAAAACACACTCATTCTCTCTCTCTCTCTCCTCAGAACACACTTTGCTACTGCAAGAAGAGGAGGGAAAATCTATAAAGACCAACAAAATAAAATAAAATAAAGAATTATTACAGATCGTTCAGTTTAATTTATAACAGAATTTTGGTATTACATTTTGGATGTTAAAACTTACAACATTATAATTTGGATTTATATAGGTAGGTTTTACTTGACTATTATTTAGTCATTTTTAATTATGCAAGTGGCGGAGATTTTCTTAAGTTCATCTTAATAATATTATGTACTTTAAATTAAATTGATTAAATTATTAAATTGCATTCATTTTAAACTCAAACACCTCTCATATTCACACATGCTTTCCAAGTTCAAAACATGCCTAAGTTTTTGAAGAATTTATGGGGTGAATAAATGTCAATCTACAGAGGCAAACATAAAGGCTAGGCTGGGCGAACATTATGCTCACATGAACTTGAGCAGTTTAATCCATGATTATTTAGATTGGCATGGGACCATTTTGCAAGCTCAGATGCGTTGGCATAGCCTAAAAGGCCTATCAATGCACACCAAGCTATAGATACTTAAATAGATTCCTAACTCGTAACTGTGATCAACAGTAAAAATAAATAAATTGCATGATCACAGAGGTTATTCTCAAAACAAAGTTCTTGCCCCTGAAGCTTAAATTTTGAAATGCATTAAACTACACATGATATTTAATGACTGATAAACCTTGGCCAACCTGAATCCTGTACTACACACACCCTGACCATGATGTAGTTTAAGGGAGTGGGCACCAAAGAAAAAATGAAAATGCAAGTGCCGCCAAAGCTATGTATTCAAGAACAAATGTCCAGCAAACATTCCACACTATAACAATTATAGCGGATCACATATTTCCACGATAATTTATTAAGGTTGCGTTGCGTTCGCTGGAATGATTTTAGGCAAGAATGGAATGGCTATTCTCCTAAATTGGTGAATGGTGATTTCATTTCCCATGTAAATTCCTTTTTTTTTTTACTTAACCAAACATGAGAACGGATATTCCGATGGAATGAACCAAACTAAACAGGTACACAAAAGACCATCCAGAACTTTCATGCCATGTGCCAATTGAACCGTTACATCAATTGAACCATATCCTTATTCAGGCCATAACCAAGAGTTGAATAGGTCAATAAAGTTCAAACCCATCTCCCATAACTCAAAAAATCACAAACTTTAATACACCAAAAAAATAATAATAATAAAAATAAAATCTTGCATCCAACAAATAAGTACTGCATACAATTACATAAAATCATATTCATGCCCTTACCTTCTGTTTGAGTCTCAGATTTCTCTTTGCAAGAACTGAATGCTCCAAAACAACTCATCTCTTTCACTCACAAACACTTCTGATAGGGACTGAAAAAGCTTAACTTGCAATCACATCTTCTCTTCAATCCAACACCTACCCAATTTTCCAACCATACAAACACGTACCTAATTAGTCACCAAAAGACACATCATTGACAATAACACCAAAACCCACATGACCAAACCTGTGTTTTTCGGAGCAATTTCAATCGAATCGCGTTACGCAACAGAATTGGGAAAGACCCATTGGGTGGCTCATCACCATCTTCTGAACATCCTCCCTCTTGATTGGGTTTCAAACCCACCTCTTGGGCTTGTGGCATGTATGATTTGGTTTAGTTTTTTCTGATGTGCTATTTTTGTACTGACCTCTGTTAAAAAAATAATAATAATTGAAAAAGCTTTATTATTTTTTTTAATTTTATCATCTGATCTGAAACCAAATAAAGAAAAAAATAACTAAAAACTTGAGCTTTATTGAAGAAAGATTTTCATTTTATGTATGGTAAAGGATCAAAGATATTCATTTTATATATTTTTTAATTGAATTTTTTTATAGCTTTGTTGCAATTATTGGTAGGGAGAATAGGAGAGTTTCAGACAGTTTGAGAGAGGTGGTCAATGATGGTGGGATGGGAGGTGAGTTCCTCTTGGCATGTAATAATGAGGAGGAGAATGGGAGAATGGGAGCTTATTTACACCGTGCCTTTATACACTTCAAACAGCAAAATCATGAGATTGAACAAAGAAAATCATCAATTACTCAAATTACCTTTGAACAACAGTACAACGATGATATGGTTGTGGCTGGAACAAAGAAATCTGAGAAAGAAGAGCCATGAAAATCAAGAAATAAAAACACAGGGAAAGTAAAAGAGAAATCAGTGAGGGAAGATGCTTGAAAATGGCTTAATTTCTTTAGCATTTTCTGCGCATTTTCTTCTATTTTCCAACAAAAAGTCAAGAATCAAAAAGGACATAGGGGAGGATGGGGATTTGGAAATTCATATAATTTGTTAGCGTACAAAAACCAGGGGGGAAAAAAATTTACTTTTATTATTGTGTTTCTTTGTGTTTCTTTCCCTAAGTTTTCTTGGCAGGCAAACAAAGCATTAACAAACTAAGAAACTCTAGAGACTTTGTTGAGGTTCACGCGATAAATACTGGTAAGAACTTTTATTTCATAAAAGTGTTGATTGATTGATGAAAACACAAATCCAATTGCCTCAATAGTTTACACAGATTGAAAACCCCAAATTCAATTGCCTCATATCCATTTTAAACCCAGATAAACAATCAAATCTTAATGATAATGATGATAAACAAACAGATTTATTAAAACCATTATAGACCTCAATTCCACCAACAAACAACGCATTTTGGTGTAACAAATTACAATATATTGTGATATTTATTATGGAATATTGTAATTATATTACGTACATTGTGATATAATATATTTTTTAAGGGTACATATTGTATAATATTATAAAAATATTTTTTTGTTTAAACAGACAAAGATATTTTAAAAAATCATTCATTTATGTGGAGACAAAGTACAATAAATAAAAATATTATGATTATCAGATCGACTTAATTTTTTCATAAATAATATACATGAAATGTCTTCCAAAATATATTATTATTCAAATTAGTGAAAAGACTTGCGTTAAACCTTATAAGTCAACAACTCCCACAAATTCTTGTAAAAATTCAACTGAGAGAAATAAAAATAAAATAAAATAAAGGAAAAGGAGCAGAAAAAGAAAAAAAAGGCGAAATGGGAAACACCAAATCAACCCTGTTAATGGATTTTGTTTTTATCATAATTGAATGTTTAGACTAATTTTTTATACTTCAATTAATCTCGAAATCTATACAAAGTAATATTTTTACATTGATCAAAAAAATCTTAAAAAGAGTCTGCAGACATATAATAATCTCAAAAAATTAATAATACATAACGATAATTGAATCTGAAATTAGAGAGCACAATTCGAAACCAACCTGCACCAACTAAGCCAACTTTTGTGGTTCCTCATAATGGAATTTAACAACAAAAGGTGACCAATAATCATTGTCGTTACAAATTACAATCAAGAGGCAATTATTTGCCCAAAAAAAAGACAACTGGCATCAACGTGGCTTCATACGGTTCACTGTCGAACGATTAAAAAAACAAACATTTAGCTAGACTACTGTTCTGTGTACTAAGAAAATCATACATTCGAATCTTTAAAATAAGGGAAAATTACAATCAGATTATTTCAAAATTTTAATTACTGACAAATTTATAATATTAATTATTAATATTGATAATTTTTTAATCAATTTATAATTATTTTTATAAAAATATATTAATATATAATTTTAAGCTGATCCTATCGATGTCTGTCTCTCTCTCTCTCTCGAGAAACTGACGCTGAAAAGTATTGTAGTCTCTCTCCTCATCACAAAGAAAAATCAAACTATAGAAACCAAGCTCCTCCAGGGCTACAGCGAGAGAGAAAGCAATGGAGTCTAGGTCATGGATCTACGTCTTCGTTGTCGCTATCATTGGATGGTCAATTGCAGTGTGGTTTGGTTCTGAAACTAAGGAATTGGTTCTGAATCTAGATGGCTCCAACTTCCACGAGACTGTTGCCAAGCATGACTTCATCGTCGTCCACTTCTATGTTCCATGGTAGGTAATTCAATTTTGTTTTATTAATTCTCTTAAATTGTGTTTGGTTCAAAGATTTGGAAAGAAAAACAGAAATAATAAGCGAAATGTGAATAAAATATACTAACATTTCACGAATATCTTTTCTCTTTTTCTTTCCAAATCTATGAATCAAATATACTCTGGAATAATGATACATAGCTCTAATTTGAGAGCTCTAGTGAGGTGGAAAAGAGAGTAGAGAGATAGAAAGAGAAGTGTGGGTCTCACCTTCACATGGGTACTCTCCACATCATTGGAATTGCATTAGAGCTATCAAATTAGAGCTCTCAAACATTATTGATACCCTCTGCGTGCGTGTTTGAAACATCCAAATAAAGCTATAATTTTTTTTGATTGTTTTTGTGTTTTGTAATTTTTTTTAAAATTATGTCAAAATTTTTAATATTATGTTTTCCAGGAGGTTTTCTGTAGATAATTTAAAATGTAAAAGGTTTTGAAAAATTTCAAAAAAAAATAAAACGTTAAAAAAAATTTAATGTTTTTGGTCTTCTTTTTTTTTCAATATTTTAACAATTTTATACTTTTCTCATCCATTTAGTTGAGTAGAAAATTTACACTAAAAAAATCAACAAAAAAACTACAAAATAAAAAATAAAAGGAAAAAGAAAAAAAAGGGTTAATTACATTGACATTCCTTGAGATTTAGTCCAATTACTACCCATCTCCTGACTTTTTAGAAATTACATTCCCACCATTGTGGTTAATAGTCTCATTTCACAAACCTTCTACTTATATAAAATGTAATAATTCTTAGTAGAAAAATAAAAGAAATTACATTTAAAAAAAAAGTAAAAGAAAGGGGAAAAAAAAGTAAAAGTAAAGTAAAGCAAAAAAAGAGAAAGTGTATGAGTTTAATGTCTTCATTCTATCTAAATAATTACAATGAAAGAGGGGTTAGTGTAATTTCCTAAACGTTAAGGGATGATATGTATTAAACCCAAACCTCAAGGGGTACAAGTGTAATTTACCCCAAAAAAAGGCATTTAATCCGCCACTTCAGAATTATAAATCTACCCTCCAATAATTAAGTTTGCTATCATTTTTAAAATTTTAAACTCAAATTCACTCATCCAAATGTATTGGTGCCGTTTGGTAACACTTACGCTTTCAGTTTTCTATTTATATTTACAAAAATTTAAAAAACTCAAATAAAAACTTGTTTGGTAAAATTTTTGATTTATAAATCAGTGGTCTCAGTTTATAAATTTGGCCAAAAAATAAAAACACAGAAAATGTGTTTCCATTTTGGGTTTTCAGTTTTTTTTTTTTTTTTTTTCCACCCAACACTAGCCACCTCCTGCCACCATTTTCCACTACCGTCTTCTGCTACCACCCCCCACTCCCTACCACCACCTGCCACCACCACTCACCACCCACCACCCACCTGCCCCCACCACCTGCCACCACCACTCACCATCCACCTGCCACCACCACCCACCACCGGCCACCACCACCACCACCACCCACTCGCTACCACCCGCCACCATCACCCACCCACCTGCTACCGTCAGCCACCACCAGCAACCCACCACCCACCGTCACCACTTTCCACTACCGCCTTCCACTGCCACTTGCCACCATTGCCATTTCTCACTTTTTTTTATATTTTTAATTTTTTTTAAACATTGTCAATTGCCAAACACGTTTGTAATTTATGTTTTTCTAAAAATAAACAAAAAATAAACAAAAACCCGTTTATAAAATTTTTGTAAATATAAACTGAAAACGTAAACGTTACCAAACAGACCCTAACCATTTCATTTTCAGTTTTCAATTTATATTTACAAAAATTTTAAAAACTGTCATAAAAACTTGTTTGATAATTTTTTTGATTTATAAATAATTGTCTCAGTTTATAAATTTAAAATGGTGGCGGGTGAGTGGTGGTGTGTGGTGGGGTGACGGTGGCGGGTGGTAGCGAGTGGGTGGTGGTGGGTGGTGGCGGCGGCGGGGAGGTTGGGTGGTAGTGGCAGGTGGGTGGCGGGATGGGGGTGGTGGGGTGGTAGCGAGTGGGGTGGCGATGGTGGGTGGGTTGGGTGGTGGATGGGTGACGGTGGCGGTGGTGGGTGGTAAGCGGGTGGGTGGGTGGATGGGTGACGGTGACGGTGGTGGGTGGTAGCGAGTTAGGTGTGTGGTGGTGGTGGTGGTGACGGTGGTTGGTGGTGTGGCAAGTGGGTGGCGGGTGGGTGGTGGTGGTGGATAGGTGGCAGGTGGTGGTGGTAGGTGGGTGGGTGACGGTGGCGGGTTGGTAGCGAGTGAATGTGATGTGGTGGCGGCGGGTGGTGTGACAGTGTGGTGGGTGGGTGACGGTGGCGGGTGGTGGCGAGTGGGTGGTGGTGGGTGTGGTGGGGTATTGGTGGCAGGTAGGTGGCGGATGGCGGGTGGTAGTGGGTGGGTGGGTGACAGTGACAGGTGGTAGCAATGGGTGGTTGTGGCGGTGGTGGTGGGCAAGTGTGATGGCGTATAGCGGGGTGGCGGGTGGTGGTGGTGGTGGTAGTGGTAGTTGTAGTTGGTAGTGGGTGGTGGGTGACGGTGGCGGGTGGTAGGTGGTAGCTAGTGGGTGGTGGTGGTGGTGGGGCAAGTGTGGTGGCGGTGGGTGATGGTGGTGGTGGTGGTGGTGGTGGTGGTGGCGGCCGCGGCGACAACGGCAAGGGGTGCGGTGGTGGTGGCGAGTGGGTGGCAGGTGGGTGGTGGCTAGTGGTGGCAGGTGGGTAGTGGAGTGGTGGTCAGGTGGTGGTGGTGGGGGTGGGTGGTGGTGCCGCGAAGACGGTGGTGGAAAATGGTGGTGGGTGGTGGCTAGTTTTGGGTGATAAAAAAAAAAAAAACTCAAAACTCAAAACAGAAACACATTTTTTTGTGTTTTCATTTTTTGGCCAAATTTATAAACTGAGACCACTGATTTATTAAATCAAAAATTTTACCAAACAAGTTTTTATTTGAGTTTTTTAAATTTTTGTAAATATAAATAGGAAAACTGAAAGCGTAAGTTGTTACCAAACGGCACCAATACATTTGGATGAGTGAATTTGAGTTTAAAATTTTAAAAATGATAGCAAACTTAATTATTGGAGGATAGATTTATAATTCTGAAGTGGCGGATTAAATGCCTTTTTTGGGGTAAATTACACTTGTACCCCTTGAGGTTTGGGTTTAATACATATCATCCCTTACGTTTAGGAAATTACACTAACCCCTCTTTCATTGTAATTATTTAGATAGAATGAAGACATAACTCATACACTTTCTCTTTTTTTTGCTTTACTTTACTTTTACTTTTTTTTCCCCTTTCTTTTACTTTTTTTTTAAATGTAATTTCTTTTATTTTTCTACTAGAATTATTACATTTTATATAATAGAGGTTTGTGAAATGAGACTATTACCACAATGGTGGGAATGTAATTTCTAAAAAGTCAGGAGATGGTAGTAATTGGACTAAATCTCAAGGATGTCAATGTAATTAACCCTTTTTTTCTTTTTCCTTTTATTTTTTTATTTGTAGTTTTTTTGTTGATTTTTTTAGTGTAAATTTTCTACTCAATAAATGGATGAGAAAAGTATAAAATTGTTAAAATATTGAAAAAAAAGAAGACCAAAAACATTAAATTTTTTTTTAACGTTTTATTTTTTTTGAAATTTTTCAAAACCTTTTACATTTTTAAATTATCTACAGAAAACCCCTGGAAAACATAATATTAAAAATTTTGACATAATTTTAAAAAAAATTACAAAACACAAAAACAATCAAAAAAAATTATAGCTTTATTTGGATGTTTCAAACACGCACGCAGAGGGTATCAATAATGTTTGAGAGCTCTAATTTGATAGTCTAATGCAATCCAATGATGTGGAGAGTACCCATGTGAAGGTGAGACCCACACTCTCTTTCTATCTCTCTACTCTCTTTTCCACCTCACTAGAGCTCTCAAATTAGAGCTATGTATCATTATTCCAGAGTTATTTGATTCATAGATTTGGAAAGAAAAAGAGAAAAGATTTCGTGAAATGTTAGTATATTTTATTACATTCGCTATTATTTCGTTTTTCATCTTCTCATTATTTCTAGCATTTCGCTTTACTTATTTCAATTACTAGCATATTATACTTTAAACTAATCAAACTAAACTAAATTAACTAAAAGCTATATAGTAGATAATTAATAAAACAAATTGAATACCTACCATGAACATAGAAGTGGACGACGATGAAGTCATGCTTGGCAACAGTCTCGTGGAAGTTGGAGCCATCTAGATTCAGAACCAATTCCTTAGTTTCAGAACCAACCACACTGCAATTGACCACCAAGATAGCGACAACGAAGACGTAGATCCATGACCTAGACTCCATTGCTTTCTCTCTCGCTGTAGCCCTGGAGGAGCTTGGTTTCTATAGTTTGATTTTTCTTTGATGAGGAGAGAGACTACAATACTTTTCACGTCAGTTTCGAGAGAGAGAGAGAGAGACAGACATCGATAGGATCAGCTTAAAATTATATATTAATATATTTTTATAAAAATAATTATAAATTGATTAAAAAATTATCAATATTAATAATTAATATTATAAATTTTTCAGTAATTAAAATTTTGAAATAATCTGATGTAATTTTCCCTTATTTTAAAGATTCGAATGTATGATTTTCTTAGTACACAGAACAGTAGTCTAGCTAAATGTTTTTTTTTTAATCGTTCGACAGTGAACCGTATGAAGCCACGTTGATGCCAGTTGTCTTTTTTTGTGCAAATATTGCCTCTTGATTGTAACGACAATGATTATTGGTCACCTTTTGTTGTTAAATTCCATTATGAGGAACCACAAAAGTTGGCTTAGTTGGTGCAGGTTGGTTTCGAATTGTGCTCTCTAATTTCAGATTCAATTATCGTATGTATTATTAATTTTTTGAGATTATTATATGTCTGCAGACTTTTTTAAGATTTTTTTGATCAATGTAAAAAATTTACTTTGTATAGATTTCGAGATTAATTGAAGATAAAAAAATTAGTCTAAACATTCAATTATGATAAAAACAAAATCCATAACAGGGTTGATTTGTGTTTCCCATTTCGCCTTTTTTTTCTTTTTCTGCTCCTTTTCCTTTATTTATTTTATTTTTATTTCTCTCAGTTGAATTTTACAAGAATTTGTGGGAGTTGTTTGACTTATAAGGTTTACACAAGTCTTTTCACTAATTGAATAATAATATATATTTCTCTCTTT